TTCACACATGCCTATAAATTGAAATATTTTCCTTCATTAAATAATAATCCAATGTTAAAAATATATAATATATGTAAACGCCATTTTAATAAGAACACAGCATTTAATCAAACAAACAAAATAAAGTAAACCTAGGTAGGATTTGAGGTTTTCATGGCAGTGAGTTTGAAGATGGTTGTCTTCTGGGTTGTTGCGCCGTGTAGTCTGGTAGCCATCTGGATTGCATTTAGGCATGCACAGATGAAAAGGTTAAGAGCATTCAACATTGATAAAGTGGTTTTAGGGTCCCAGAGGATTAAAGAAGCTAAGCAGCATCACTGTTAGATGTCTGCTGTAGTTTAATTTGTTAAACTGCATCTGACCACCAAAAATAGATTCATTATTTAAATGCACATACCAGCTTTGCTTCCTTTAGCAACAGATGGCAGGAATGACTTTGAAGAATAGAAACCCATATCTTCAGTCAAACCTTCAAATGCTGGGATTATTTTTGGTTCAGGAAGCCCAATCCCCAAAAATATTGCTTTATATTCTTCCTTCAGTAAACCCTAGAAAAATATATTTCTAGTATTAAAATAAGCACTTCAAAATAAGAACTAACATGTGCACAAATAGACTGAGACACAAAGAAACAGTACACATGCACACACACACACATGTAAAGAGCAAAAAGTGAGAACCAGTTGACAAAACAATAAACATTATGACTGATAGATACAATAACACAGTTCATATTGAAAAATTGTGGCTTATACATACATTTTTATTTTTCTCCCTTCAAGCAGCACTGTACTTGTTGCAAGATATCTCCGAGGTTTGTTGACTGTTATAAATACACAAATTAGTGGCGAGCCAGCTGAGGTATGGGGAAAGAGGAGAAGTAGTAGCACAATAGGTATCTTGCTTACACAAAATTGGTGCCAAGATCTTGCAATCTGCAATTCCTGCACTACTAAAGCCTTTTTAAGTTTTTAACATCAGAATTCCTGCAGATGAATTTTAAAAATGCAAAGCATCACACACTATCAATTTTTCAAACAAGATGAGAACACACCTGAATTCACATGAAACCAATACCTATTTTCTGAAAAATTCTTTTGTTAAATTTTTACAAGCATGTTGCATTTTAACACCAAAAATGTTCTGGGCACAGACATGATTAATGGCAAGACCTCTATATATTGGATTAGAGATTTTAAGCATGTAAATGATTCTGTAAGATAAAATACTACAATAAAAATGGTTTTATAGAGTTTAGATGTTCATGTCATCAAGACAGAAGGCAATGCACATCTTACCTCAACTGAGAGATCACGTGTTGAAAGAACTCGACCCGTTTCCACACGCACGCCCAAATCTTTCACCATGTCTATTTCAAATTTAACTACATGATATGGTAAACGATACTGTGGGATCTCTGAAGAACTGTAAAGAAAGCACTAGTGATTACTTTACTGGCAGACATCTGATCAAATTTATGCAACACCGACATCTGAGACAGGGCTACACTTGAAAAGTCCTGTAAAGTTTTAAAAATGTCTACTCTCCTTTTAAATCCTCCATTTGAATAAATAAGCCACTAAAACTTATAATAAATGCACTGAATTATTTTTACTTCACAACTTGTAGTGTAGTACCCTGAAATACCAAATTTAATTTCAATCTACTACTAAATTTAGATGAAACATGTATATGTGCAGACTGTCTAATATATAAACTCTGCATTTTGTGTTCAATTTGTGTGCGCCCTTTATGAAAAAAAAAACACTTAAAAATCATAAATGCTGATATTATTTCATACAGTTACCATTATATTATTTTCAGATTTTTGACATACAATAAAACGTATGTAATAATACAATATTTTAGGACTCTTCCATGTATGGCTACATTGTTGTAAGTGCTACACATAGGGAACTGAAAAACCGTGGAAAGTATTTGTGGAACTTATAAGCAGAATTGGTTCCATTATCATTGAAGTTCCAGTCTGGACTACTGTTTGTTTGGAAAATTAATATAATGTTTTTCACATTGGACATCTGTATCAATAGAGAACTGATACCAAATAAAGTTGAACATGTTCTTCTGGGTTGTGATACCATGCCATCTAGTAGGTGGTTACCAATGTTCCTCCAAAATTTTGGTTAACAACCTATAGGACTATACAGCATCACAACCCACAATACTGCAACCAATGTCTTCACCAACATGACAACCTGAATGTCTTGATTAAATTAAGTAAATTATCATAAAAAATGTATAACACATAATACTTTGGGTAGCAGAAGAGCACACTTACCTGAGACCTCCCACATAATTCTCCTTCTCAAAAATTGTAATGTCTGTGTATCCCAGTCTCGCAAGAAATGTTGCACAGGAGAGAGAAGCAGGGCCACATCCAAGCAATGCTACTTTTGCATCACTGTTATCATTGTGTTGATTAGGTGGTCTTATTTGTGGAATATTCATGGCTCTGAACACCTGAAATTATAATATAAGTGAAAATGATTCACCAGTTGAGGGCAAATTGAAACCATTCCCCAACAATAATATTCCAACCAGTTATTCATGTCCTGGGAAGAACGTATATAAACTGATGTGTGACAAGATGGACTATTCTAGACTTTCTGCTCTTTCTGTTCCTCATTTCATTATTCCTATAACCTTCCCCATCTTTAATTAACTACCACTGATACAATCAATTTTTACCACATTTCAACAGTTTCATCTCAACTACAGAGTGTAGTTGGCTTGGCTCATTTATAAAAGCACAATTTTTTTAATGAAAATGTATAATAAAAACTTATAAATTAAATGTTGCAGTCTTGAAGCATATTAATGATGGTGTTACAACAATAAAAGTGAAAGTTTACTGAAGATTTCAATTGTTATACATTTATCATTGACAATGAAGGCACAACGAGCAGAACTATTAAATACATAAAACGGAGAAACAGTGAACACAGAAAAGCCCCAGGACGTCCATATTTAAACGTTGATGCTTCTGATTCCCAAGCACAAAGGACATTATGAACATAAATTATGCATCTATACTTTTTAACATTAATTCCTATATTCATTACATGGGGCTCTAAACTGGTCAAAATGGTGAGCAAAGTCTTATCCAGTTTGTGGAAGAAAAAAATAAATTATTTCTGTGTAACACATGTTCATGGATATGTTTCATAAAGGAACACCAAGAATAAATATGATTTGTGTGTGATATAACCACTTTTTAATCATACAGTTTGCAAACCAAATAGTGTCAACAGCTTAGGTATGAGGAGTGGATTCATGTAGTGTACATACATAGCTTCAAAATATCAAGCCAAGACCAGTAAAGAACGAAAAATACTATTTAAAATTTGGAAATGTTTATGGAAATTATTATATATGAGGCCCTACGTTTCAGGTGATGCAAATAGCTACAGAAGATGAAAACGTTTACACTTTGTTATGACTTCATAGACTGGTCTAAAATACATCTCATCACATACAGTTTTTAGTAATAAAATCAATTTTCATATTTCAGGTTCTGTAAATTGTCACAACACAAATATCTGGGGTGAAGGTACATTACACAAACCACAGGACATGTCTGAATATCATTTTTATATCGTGGTGCTCAAAGTAAATATCTTTCAACTGAAAACAACAGTTTTTGAATTACTGTTTATAATAATGTTATTTTTAATTGTTTATCTTGTTAGGTCACTCTCAATACATTTTTTTAAAGCATTCAACTAATTTATAACAGTCCTTCCCGTGCAACATAAAATATACAGGAGTCAGAAAGCACATAATTATGTTATCGTGTTAGCTATCTGGTGAAAGAATTAATCCTCTTGCTAGTGAAATTTCAATAACAGACTAATCCTCTTGCTAGTGAAATTTCAATAAGTAAAGTAAAGTAAAAGAAGTGTGTCATCAAAGAATAGAAGAACATTAGAGCATTTAATGCTGATAAATATGTTTAAAAAAGATTCCAGTACCAGACAAACTAACAGAGATTACAGTGATGCAATAAAATATAAACTAATCTATTGGTTAAGTATCTGAAAAGTAACTGATGTAATCAGAGAATAAACATGAACAAGGATGTTAAGGCAGACAAAGTCAAACATAGAGATAAGATATAAGACAAACAGAATTAGTTTTCCTTGTGAACAAATATAAGAAGTGACAAACTCCTTGATGTGAATGTAATAAACCATTATGATACATATTTACTTGACAACAACTTATTAGCCTAATAATAAAGAAGTATTGTTGTATCCCGACTTCCAACTGTGGCCCTGCGGTGTCGTATCATCGATGTTGACACGTATGGAGCTCGGATGTCGATCCGGGCTGGGCTTGTAGTAGGGGATGGTGGGTTCTCAGGTGGTAGGTAGTGAGCAGTGATAGAAGAATGTCCTTAACAAAGTGGTTTATTGCTTGAAAATTGACAGGATACAGTACAGGACTCTCAGAAATAAGAGATCAGACCCGGTGGTCGGACGCCCGTCGTAGACGGGTCTATCTGTAACACTCTGGGCTTTTATTAGGTTGGTTTGCTGTTTACTCATGTGTAGCAGCAAAGTCAGCCTGCCTCTGGAATGTTCCATAGTTCACAAATACAGTTTTGCCATTATTCTCGGTATTCTCGTCTCTGTTCCCATGCAACATGTAGTGCTAGTCAAGCATGGCGGACCCGAACTGTTCAGAGTTCAGCTCAGTCATACCTCAACCATTCTAGTTAATCATTGCCTCTGACAACATAGAAGAGATACCGAGTTACAACATGTACTCATCCTGTTATAGATGCTGAATAATTAATACTAGATACTGCACCTTAATTACACTTATTTTAACTACGTTTACCCTGCTATATATAATTATTGCCATATATAACAGTATGTGTTATATAGGAAATAACCAATAAGTAGTAAAAATGTTTAATGTAGTACTGGCAGTGATGGATAAAAATGTCTCACTATGTACACAGAAAATTAAATTAATGAAATACAAATAATGTCACATACTTCTGTGGCAAACTGCTGAAGTCCTCCTATGTTTATAGGACCTTCTTCTACAGCTTGCAAGTTGCAGCCTCCTACACATAAGTCACTAGTCGGACACACCATTCCACATGTCAGGCCCAAGGGGTTATCTGAAAAAATTGCTTTAGCAGCACCATAATAATTCTGTAACACAAGAACAATTCATTTACATTAATCATTATACTACAGGGTGGGTGGGAACAGTGGATAATTCATTGTCATTTCTGGGGTAAGATCAGGCATTTCCTGCTTGGTGTACTGTAAAACAACAATGGCTAAGAATACAATTCTGATCTGGCAAGTATACCCTGTGGTAACACAGGGACTGGTGTGCTCTTGGGGAGTACACTAACATTTCAAAGCCGTTCTTCACACTGCATGTAGCGCGCATGGATGGGACAAGATGTGTGCACTGGGTATTGGTTGGGAAGCCTGTAGGGAAGAGACCGCTGGGGAGACCTAGACGTAGCTGGGAGGATAATCTCAGGAGGGATCTATGGGAGATAGGAGTTGAAGGAGACTGGATTTTGTTGGCCCAGGACAGGGTCCGGTGGAGGGCTTTGGTTAATTCGGTGATGAACCTTTGGGTTCGGTAAGCCATATAGTTAGTTAGTTAGTTAGTCTTCACACTGCATCATATAGACCATTGTTGCACTAATGTGACGTGAGTACATTGCTACACCTTTGGCCATTCATCATTAAGAAACAAGTCTATTGCTCTGGAATCCAAATGTTCATCATCACAAACTCCTGCTATAAAATCCTACTGCTATATGCATGCACAGTGAAAAATTGCATAAAGACTATTATAAAGTTCCTGCCATAATTAATTATTTAATAATTCTTCATGTATGTTAACATTTCCTATTTCAAAACTAATTTCTGTTGATTTAAATAAATTCTGCAATGCATAAACATAGGTTTTATAACACTTATGTGCCACAGTCATCTTAATTGAGCCCAGTAGTCCATTTGAGTGAACCTTCTAATTTCATAAAAGGGAGATACCACCTGCTCAAGGATCCTACTCCACTAATGCAATTAATTATGTTGTATGGAAAACACCCCACCTGTCTTTAATACAAACACAAAGGCCAATCTACATTTAGGAAAAGAAATATTTTCATAATGAAATAATGTGACAATATGCTTATGCCTGAGAAAAAATTAGTCTATCAAGAAATTCCAGCAGCTTTATTAGAATGGTCACCTGGTCCAGAATATTGTGATGACACTTACTTTGTTAGAAATACTGGTAATGAAACTTTTAATATCCAATTGAGTTGGACATGATTTTTGACATGGAGCATCTGCACATTTCAGACAACGAGCGGCTTCCCTCAGAGCCGCTCTTTCACTTAAGGTGGTGTGTTTGACATCATCAAAATTCTTCGCTAAGCTTCCACAACTCTGGAATAAAAAAAATTCACTTCAACTATACTTTTAATGTATTGTTAATTAAAGTTATAACATAAAAATAACCTATGCCTAATGTACTATAATATATAACTGACAATATTCAATTTACTGTCACACATTCAAAATTTGAGGACATTAATATAGTCTTGTTTTGTTAATGACTGACTCATACAATTAAATTACACGAAGAATAAAACTTCATAAACTTTACAGAAACTCATTTAACAGGATTTTAAATCAAAATTTGTCTTCAAGACAACTGTGTTGTTGTGTCTTATTTTTATTACAATATCATTTTGTAATTTGCTACTGAATTTTACTTTCAATGTCTAGTCTTATACACAACTGTATTTGAGTCAACTTCATACTGTAAGCATTTAATCAATCAATTATACAAAATAACACAAATATGATTAATTTTAGAGTCAAAACATTCATAGAAAAGTTTATAGAACCTCCCTCTTTCTGCTACTCTGCATGCCAAATCATAAAACTTCTCAGCCCCCAAGTTTTGTTTAGGGTACACATTAAATTCTGGCAGAATACTTGAAAGAAAACATAAGAAAATACTTCCTACTTACTAGCTGATACATCATTTACTATACGAAGTACCTCAGTGTAATTCATGTTTAGAACTTTACTACAGGCATAAAATATATATATATATATATAAGAATCAGATTTTATGTTTATAACAAAGTTACAAGCTAGACTGTACTTCTCTACTACACAATTGCAGTAACACACCTCCTATTAAAACAAACACAGACAAAGCTCAAAATCCCGACGAAAACAATCCACTTAACATGTGATGAATTCAAATTTAACACACTGACAATCTAGAAAGTTTAATTCTTGGGCATTATACTACCAGCATTTTAAGGCCTGCCACAGGTTTTTTTCTTTCCCTTGTGTGGCCAGAGGCTTTCATTACATATTGAGAGTACAGCAAATTCTAAATATAGTCTGTAATTTTTAAATGTTATTAACACGGGCATGCAAATTGCACAGGTACCACACTAGCATCAGCTTGCCATGACCTACCTTGTTTTTAATTTATAGATTACTGACTTGCCAAAACTTGTTGCAAAGTATTAAAATGATGCTACATAACCAACCCACAAATTCCTTGAAGTGAACAATCAGCAGCACACAAGAAATGTCAGATCCAAATTCTTAACTGGCAGGCAATAAATAAACACATAATTACATGCTCATTTGTACTTACATCACACTTTCTATCTGCATTCCTCTTCCATTTAAGCTTGTTCTCTTTTGTTTGTTTAGAAGGTGTAACACTGGCAAATGGCTTGATCCTGGGATTTAACTTCAGAAGACCCTTTAATTAAAAGAGATCACATCAAAAACAAGAGTCAATTGAGAAAAACAATTTGTGTAAGTGAAGATGAAAATTCCTTGTATGTAAGAAAGAGAGGGGCAAGTACAAGAAATTAGGATGTGTATACATGTGACAGGAAAAATTGACAGTGGAACCACGGTTCAGGAGAATCTGACGTAAATACGTACTCCGTACCCAATATATCTAAATGGCTATCAGTAACTTGTTTCAAATCTTTTTCAAACCATAACCGATCATATACATTGCAAGCGTATCCAAATCTATTTTCATTAAAATGCTTATGAAAATATTCCGTTGCATTGTCATACATTTGTTGTGCGATTCTTTTAGGAACGTTTTACTTGATAATGATGTGGATGCATTAACTTGCAATAATTGCGTCTTGCGATTTCTATATTCCCTCATACACAGTGCATTAGTTTGCGGCTTACGGTTTCTATATTCCCTCATAAGTTCAGCATTAGGGTTACCGCACACGTAAGACAAACAGTCAGACGACTGTTTCGTCTTTCGCATATAGAGATGCGCACACTGTTACAACACGACTGGCAGTCGGTTACGTCTACTGACAGCCCCGGATTTTTCTGTCCACCAACTGTCGTTGGCCCTTCGAATTATATGAAAGAGCTCAGATGAACGACCTTTCAGTCGTTCTGTCTTTCATTTCGTGGGAGCATTTGCCGACAGTAGACGATTGTCAAACATGGATTTTGTTGAAACTGCTACAGTACGTGCACTTGTGATTCGCCTCAAGAAAAGGAGGAAAAGGAATTACTGGGTGCATCCATTATACAGTGTGAGACTGTTGAAAGGAAAATTCCATACTATGTATGAAACATTACGGAATTATCCTGCAAAATTCTTTTCATATTTTCGCATGAGTACACAAAGTTTTGATGAACTTCTATTATTGCTGAGACCGAGTATAACCTATCAAGATACGGATACGAATTCGCTCCAACGTCAAACATGGATTTTGTTGAAACTGCTACAGTACGTGCACTTGTGATTCGCCTCAAGAAAAGGAGGAAAAGGAATTACTGGGTGCATCCATTATACAGTGTGAGACTGTTGAAAGGAAAATTCCATACTATGTATGAAACATTACGGAATTATCCTGCAAAATTCTTTTCATATTTTCGCATGAGTACACAAAGTTTTGATGAACTTCTATTATTGCTGAGACCGAGTATAACCTATCAAGATACGGATACGAATTCGCTCCAACGTGGTACCACAACTGAACAAATCTCTTGCCAAAGTTCTCTTTTAACATTGATGTTTGCATAATCTTTTAATTTTTTGTCTTTCTACCTCTTCAATTAATTGTTCGATATTCTCTTCTTGCAACATTCCTGACTTCTGTACTCGGCGAGCACGGAGGGAAGAATGTGGAACAAAAGAGAACAAGAGATTGACTGAATAAAAATTTACTTGGATATTATCCATCGTCTAGTAATAAAACGTAAAACGACGTTTCGGAGATGAGGCTCTATCTCCGTCTTCAGGTTCCTACTCAGTTGGGCCCACTAGATAGAGCTAATCCCTATCTCCGGACAAATTAAAAAGTGAAAGTCCCAGAATACGTTTTATTACTAGACGATGGATAATATCCAAGTAAAATTTTTATTCAACTGACTCTTCACCATCGTCAAGAAGTTTTAGATTTGAAGAGATTGACTGTTTAGTCGTACGTATACGCCTGCTCATGGACTGAACTGTCTTGTCGTCAAAGGGTCGTATGCTTCAGCCGACGACAGAACAGTCAGTGTGCGGTAGCCCTTAGTTTTTGGTATTTTTAGGGAACTTCAGGTTCATTATTTAATACTTCTATTTTTTACGTTTTCTGTACTGTCTCATATATTCTGCATTACGGACTCTTTTAGCTTCAATGTCAATCTTGTTATCTCTACATAGTATGACGCAACACGCAAACACAGCAGTAGCATGAAGTGCGATGCGCCTTTATTTGTATAAATAAATGTTTGTAGAACCTAAATCATTTGTTATATGTAAAATCTGAAAACAGATATGGAAAGCTCAAGAAGTAATACGTATTTCGTACGCAATATGTCCTGATCCATCTCATACGGTTTTCGAGAGGGGGGCGCTTAATGCGCCAGATGCATTGAAAATTGAACACATTTGTTCATTAAAATTACAAATGCATAAACAATTATAATTACAATAAAATACATTACACATTCTTAGAGGTCTTTATTTACTGATCATTTTACATATAGGTTACATTTCCCTTACTCTTACCATTCCCGAGGAATGAACATTTAAAGGTGACTCGGCGCTGGATCTTTCACATCTTCATAACGCTGTTTTTGCCGAATGACCCTTCGTATAGACGTATTTAGGTCAAAAAATAATATTTAATAATTTACATATTACTGCGAGAGAAGACGTTCGTGTATAATGATGGCATTTCGTAACGGAGCGATAAAGGCGTTATGTAACCCCCGAATATAAGAAGTGCACACTTTTCCTGGTATGAATGAAAAGCTTAAATTTTCTAATGCTTTTCAAAGTAGCAGCTGAACACGACAAGACAACAAAACAACGGGTTCCAAAGCATAAATGTCATTCTGAACAAGTAAAATTTTATCACATACGCAGTAGCTGAATCTGAGACCAGACCTGTCTCTAATGCAAATTATTGTAACTTACAGCAGCTTGTCACTGTACTGTGAAAAGGAAAAACCATAGAATATTCCTGTCTTCTGGGCTGTTGCGCTGTGTAGTCTGGTTGATGTTAGCCAACGTTCCAGAGGTCATACTGCCTCCGTCATCAGGGCGATGTGCCAGTGGGGTGTGTGGCACATTCATCGCCCTGATGACGGAGGCAGTATGACCTCTGAAACGTTGGCTAACATCAACCAGACTACACAGCGCAACAACCCAGAAGACAGGAATCTTCATACTCACCGCTGTGAAAACCTCAAATCTTACGGAAAAGCTATAGTTTACAATTACGGGCATTTCCAATCAATGCAGTTGAAAGGAAAAACAATATTAAAAATAAATATACACCTTCTCACACATCTTACCTCTATGTCAGGAACGTCTTTAGTCAACTCACGTGACTGCATCGTCGCCACCCCAAATATGAACTACATATCTACTACCATAAATTTATGCAGATTGTGGGCACGTCGGCGCTGCAGTCAGCAAAACAGCTGATTGCTAGACACTAGAGACCTCTATGAATAATATGGTAACTTATTAACGAAAGGCGCGAGAAAGGGGGAAATTTACTGTATATTGCTTTATTATTGTCCCTTTAATTTACCTCCATACAAAACATTTTTATTTCCGAAATTTGAATCTGTGGCATACTGTAACTACCACTCTTTCTGGACATGCTGTCGGGTACCAGATATCTAAAAACTAGCAGGCTCCTTTGTTGTTACGAACGTACATTAATTACCAATTACTGTTCTATTCGAAATGTCTATGTCCTAGCTGTTATTAACATCCACACTATCAACGCTATGGACGGGACACGGTACTTTTTTGAAGACAGGCAGTATAACATAAGGTCAATGATGGTTATGACTATGCACCTCTATAAACTCACTTCTTGCTCCAATACTAAACTTGTATAAATTGCTTTCTTGTGGGTTATTACTTAATTCTGTAAAAAGTTACAAAACAGTACACAAGGCATAAAGTAATGAGAATGGCATCAATATTAGCACTCACTTCTTCTAACCTGGAACTGCATACACTTCTACTTTTATGAGTACAAGACTACGCCCATACTTACCATACAACGTAAAGACACTTTTATGTTCCTCAACCTCCACCTCCAACAATTGGCTTTTAAGGAAGTTGGGGGCCAATGCATTATAAAAGAATAAAGGAAATGCTTGCTACAATTCAGTACAATTCAGTCTTCCCATCTCATGTCTGCAAACCTAGGGATTAAAATATATAAAACCACTTGTTTTAATGTACAAAACTATTCTAATCAGCGCTTTGTATTGTTATTGTTCCTAAGGGAGAGGATGATACTGGATGGAGAAAAATACATAATTACAAGCCTCATAATTTGTACCCAACAATTTATTAGGGTGCTCATATGGAATAGCATGAGATCAACAGGGCATGTAGCACACCTGGAAAAGATGTGATACATCCAACCATAGAGAACCTCAAGACAAGAGAACAGAGTGGAAACCTTGGCATAGTTGGGAGAGTATCAAAATGTATACTAAAGGAACAGACTGGGATGATGTGGACTTGATTCAATAGACTCAGGATCTGGTCCAGAACTGGAACAAAGGATTACAGTACAAAAAAAATAAGGAACTTCTTGACCAGTTCAGCAACCGTCAACTTCATACAAAAGAGAGTTAATTAAGATTCCATGTCATTATAAATTAGGACATCTTGGTCACAGGGTATACACTACTCTCACATGCAGAGATTCTTAGGTTCAAATCCACAACCCAACTTCAATGCAGATTTGTCAGAGTCCATTCTCAAGTGTTACTCCCTTCCGTTGGCTATTATTCTCAAAATTATTCTAGTTCCAGAACAGCACACCATGCTACTGATGGGAGCCACTTGATGTAGGACCCTGAAATTATATATTAACAGAGCTTTGAAAAGTACGCAACTTTCTGGTTCTTACTATTCTTGGCATACTGCAAAGACCTATTTGAGAAATGCATTCCACAAACTAGTCTTTCTATGTAACAATGTATGAGTTTAATTCCTTATTACAAGCATCTCTTATTCTTAATAAATTCAGTTTACAAATACCATTGACTTTTGTAAAATGCATCACTGATTCACCATCACGTGTGTCTGCACAGAGGAGAAATTTTAAACATCGTCAGTTGCTTCAAGAACTGCCCCACTATATGCCAAGTCCCAGTACTGCTCCACAGAATGCTTTTTGAAGTGTTCTCTTGCTAATTTCTCTGTTGGGCAAACTTTGAATTTCATGTCACCAAAGTTTCTCTGTTTCACAGTCCCCTGAAAAACATAATTGAGAATTGATCACAATGTACACAACTGGATCAGAAATCAATTCAACTAGTAGCAGAGATGGCCTGAGTTCCAAGCATTTGCCTGGAGGGGTTGAGGAAAAATTTAAAAATTCAATCGAGATAGCTGGTCTCTGGGATGAAGGCGAAGAATATTAAAACATATGCAAGACATACAGTGTGGAAGTACAGACTGGATTCATATGGCTGGCTTTTATGAACATAATATTTTTTCAAGTTCCATAAAAGGTGAGAAATTTCTTAGCCACTGACTAGCTAAGTGATTACCAGTTTCTCAAGGACTCTGCTCCAAGGAGTTTGTCTCCAGCAACACAATGTTGTACCCTTGAACTTTCACTGTACTTCAATATATAAATGAATGAAAATTATAAATTAAGGACAAAATGATGATTCAAGTGACCTGTAAAAACTACTGAAAACTATTTTAGCCATAATTCTTTTAAAAATAAAAGCATCTTACTTCCCAAACCATGACACATTTGTTAGCAGATTCATTTCCATCACTGTCCTTCACTGTATCTTCTTCCCATTTTATTCTGTTAAGCATTAATCTGAAAACAAAGCATCAGTCATCACACTTATATTCATATCAAGAGACACTAACTTAAAGCAAAGAGGTTACATATCTTTCTGCCAGCATAAAATATATCACTTTACTATTTTAGTTTCACGTATTTGTCAAGCATCCTACAACCGTTATATTCACATAATGCAACTACATATTTTTCTAAACAAGTCAGTCTAAATCCAGAAAGTTGCACCAGATACACAATGATTTTTCAATGTTGTCACAGTGGATAAAATGAACCATTACTGCTTCCTTGGTTTTCTTTTCTCTTCTCTAATTTTTATATAGCATTACAGCTACAGATTCTGAATTTACATCGATTTTTCAGAATTTCCATCAACACTAATTAATTTATTACTTACCTTCTATATTTCTTTTGCTGCTTTGTACCACCTTCCACAACCACAACATTGCAGTCTTTAAATAATACTACACATCCGGACATAAACAACTGTTTGGCATTTGTTTCTATCTTGAATTTTTTAGATGCATTTAACAATTCTTTTACCCTGCAATAAAGATATAAGTTGTACATTACATTAAATATGCTAAATATATTTTAATGTAAATCTGAAAAATAAAACTTTAAATGCTTTGTACCTATATACAGATACACTGACACCTAGTGTGGTGTCCTCCTTTAATTTGCGGACTTTCTTTTCTCTTCTCTGGTCTGCAGTCAGCCTCCTAGCGGCATTTGCTTCTTCGTGAGCCTTTTGGCGCTTTGCCATTTGTTCTCGCACGTGAGCTTCAATCTTGGTTGGATCTTGAACCGCTTCTGTTCCTAACACTCGCATCAAATTTGATATCCTCAGCTACAAGCACAAGAAGAAATCTTATAAATTAATTGCACATTAAATCAGGATGCAGATACAGTTATACTTGTAAGGCGATTTTATTGTACTGTTTTTATACTAATTATTAATTCTCATTTTTACTTCACTATGGACAAGTAGGCTTAAATGCATATACTGGCAACTTTTGCACACAGGGATGATCATAAAGTAAAACAAATTTTAAAAAATAACTAAGAATACAACTAAAATATTGCATACAGCATATACACCTCATACAAAGGACAACACACTACATAACTATGGTGTAATTAATCAACCATGAGCACAAACCTTGAAAGAATTACCATTATAAGACAAAAAGTGCTGTTCATATTTTTTTACTTATGGTAAAAATATTATAGTTCTTTGATTGTTAACAAATTCAACAGCATAGGTTTAAGACCCTGGAAAAATAAATACTATAATAAACAGTTTGCCTTAGGTTCAGGTGGTGGTTCCAGACCAAGTCGAATCTTTTCCTGTTCTTCCTTCCAAGCCTCACGTCGGTTTTGCCTCCGCAGCTTCTTCCGCTCCTTCTTTGTGAGAAACACAGGCATATACACAGGTTTCAAAGGATCCGCTGCAACAATGTGAACCACATACCTGTTACTGACACTGGCTTATCCATTCTAAATCTAATGTAGCATGATGTGATACGTCTTCTGTCATCGTTACATTTTACAACATAATGTATAAGGGACATCTGAAAGAATGAAACCAACAAGAAAAACAGAGAGATAATACAGAAGAAAGAAAGGAAGTATCGGCTGGTCCCATCATGTCGGGCTAAAATTAATTTAAAATGTGGCCACAAAGAGTTAAATAGTGACTTAAATAGGTTAAATGCAGTGATTGTTAAATTCCAAGTAAACATATGGAGAAACACAGTCTTCATCTCCAGGAATAAAGTGCAGAAGTCTGAAGTATCTACCTACAAATCTATATGGCATCAAAAATCAGAAGAAAAATATTGTCATCCTCACCACTGCAAGAACCTCAAATCAGATAAGTTTAAAAAATTTGAATATGCATTTCGGTTTTTTACGTCGTGCACAACTGTTCTGTCATCAAATAAATGCACATATAGACAATGAGATGGCAGCTTTTATATTCCGATACTGTAATATATTCTTTTTATGAAGACAAAATCCCTTCTCCTTACCTCAAAAATACAGAGATAAATTCTAAATAATGACTTACTAGGTGGTCTCAACTGAATCGGATGTTCCACAAGATTTGTTATTGCGGATTCCTTCAAAAGTGGTTTCCCATTTCTCACAATGTAACTGTAACAGAGATACACATACTCAGTCATCATCACCTAGCTGACAAAAGCCTATCACTGAACCTTATAACTCATAACTACTTCCTCTTCCATCTCTTCCATTACACCACTCAAAATCACATAATTTTGTAAGTCCAGTTTAGTGAAGGAACTACAGACTTATGTAAGTGTTTAACAGCAGCCATGACATAATGACACAAGGACTTAGTCTTGCCAACTGTGGTGTTTATCAGGAATGGAACACCCTCAGATGGCGAGATATTTTGCATATTTAAAGGATAGTAAAGTATTAGTTGTAAGTGGATTGGATAAAATATTCATATTTGATCACCCAGTTTTAATATAAATCTCTTGAACAAAATGTTGTCAAGATAAGGCAAT